GAGAAAGTCGTATTGGCATTCGCATCTAGCGCATTGCGCTTTTTTCGAATTTTGGCCCCCTTCCAGGGACCTTGATTTTTACCCGCTGGCACTGACGTCTTTTAATTGGTCAGCCGGTTAGCGCGGTCGATGCTAATAATAAAAACACACACACACACAAACAGAAAACATGGAGGAGTGGAAGAGAGCAAAGGGTTTGAGCCAGATGACCTTCCCCACAACAAGAAACGTAGGGCTAGGGAAGAACTGCCCAGAGATTCTTCTTGTCGAAATGAGGATCAGAATGATGGTAGCGAAAACAAGGAGGACACTGGTGAAAGTACTCCTAAACGAACTCGAGTACTAGGTAATAGCCTTGGTAGACGCGTGCATTTTTCGTCTGTTGCTGCTGTTTCTGTTTTTAATCCGAAGGATAGTTTAGCCTCCCCCATGCTGCCCCCTCACGGGGTCCCAGTTCATGGTAGATAGAAGTGTTTTGTGTTTTCAACCGCACTAAGACTGACGTCTTTTCATTGGTCAGCCGGTTAGCGCGGTCGATGCTAACAATCAAAACAATTAGGACAAACACACACACACATAGCGAAAACAAGGAGGGTACTGGTGAAAGTACTCCTAAACGAACTCGAGTACTAGGTAATAGCTTGGTAGACACGTGCAGTTTTCTTCTGTTGCTGCTGTTTCTGTTTTTGATCCGAAGGATTAGTTTAGCCTCCCCCATGCTGCCCCCTCACGGGGTCCCAGTTCATGGTAGATACAAGTGTTTTGTATTTTCAACCGCACTAAGTATGGAGATGCCTTCTACTTTCGGTGAGCGGAGAGTCCGGGGTTGTGGTGGCTTTGTCCTGCCGCCGGAGGTTGGCTATTTCCTTTTTTGGTGTAATGTGGCGAGGAATGCCAAGCGTGACCGAACGAACTCAGTCAAGCTAGAGTGGTGCGGAGAGTGGGCGAGCCTTCGTGGACTCCTTTTTTTCCCATTCTCCTAAAGATCCATCAACTCTTCGCAGCCGTTGGGGGTCATAAGAGTTGTGGACCCTCGGAGAACAGTAATCTAATACTTCGAAGTATCACTTATTCCCTCAGATCCTACTCTTTATGTACGTACGTGTATCTGTGCTCCCTGAATCTCCATATCCTGACCTCCACATAGCCCCCCTTTTTCTTGGCCGAAAGCTCAGCTTGTTGCAGTTGGGTTTTGGCGCACATGCACGTTTGCATGTTTCTTGTAGTGGAGCAGGTTTGGATGTATCATTGGATCCAGATACAGCTCTTCGAAAAATTAAATATCTCCCTCACTATCCGAAGACAGCTGACAGTGCCGTGTGGAATGCACACGTGTTGGAAGCAACACCGTACGGATTCAATCTCTCTAAGGCTCGTACAAGCTACCATGTATTGATGTCAATCAATGATGTGTCGAAGCTTATCCTTGTTAAGTATCAAGAATTTGTACTTTGTTCGGGATCTGGTTCGCGTAACCATACCGCTGGGTGTAAGCAATCGTGATGCTTATTGAGTTCAATAGGCATAATACGGTGTTCGACAGTCTTAAGACTGTTTCCGTGACTCATGATTAGTGTCATCGAGTTGCGACCCTCAATTCCACTTGAGACCGGTTAACTTGATATTTCCTCGCCAGCGTTTGACCCAACCAAATGCTGGATAGCAACCTTATTGTTTGGATGCTATTCCTTTCACCGTTTAGATACTTTGAAAATATATCTTTTGTTTGCCTTCGGACTTCGTTTACTTTTCCGCTGAGTACTTTTCTTATTCACGCATTTGCTGGCTTGGGACACAACGTGTCTGGCCTTGCTTTGTGCTTTGCGCCACGGTAAGAACAGCTTCGGATTTGTTCCATCCATATCCTGGTGTGGTCGGTATACGAGTACGTACCTGTTGACCAGGTAGGTTTAAAGACGGGGTACTCCCGCGGTAACTTTTCGTTTTTCGCAGCTTGCTTCTCTGCACGTTCCGTGAGGTTTCTTCGCGTTAGTTCGAAAGCAGTTTGTAGATTTTCTCGTGTTTTTTTAGCAAAACTCTCGGTATCTGCAGTTGATACTACATGTGGGATTCCGAGAATTATATCTACCGGTAACCGTTCTTGGCGACCAAACATCAAGAAGTACTGTGTCTCATGCATGGTTTTATTAAACGACGTATTATACGCTAGTTGAACCATTGGCAGGAGATCCGCCCAGGTGTCACGATTCATGGAGCTGTGCATTGCGAGCATGGAATGCATCGTTGAATGCACACGCTCAGAGACCGAATTACCTTGCGGACGATACGGCGTCGTGCGTGTTTTCTTGTAGCCCAAGATTGTTTGCAACTGATAGATTATCTTGTTTTCGAATTCAGTGCCTTGATCAGAGTGCAGCATTTCAGGCGGGCCAAACATACTGATAATTAATCCGATCAATGATTACACGTGCTACCGTTTCAGCAGTTTTGTTTGGGACTGGTGTGAGAATTGCATAACGCGTCAGGTGGTCCATCATGGAAAGCACGTATGTATTTGCATCTCACTCCGACTGCTGACATTGAGAGTGGTTTGTACTCGACTAGGTCGACTGATACTCTTTCAAACGGCCGCTGTACAGGTACGTGACGCGTCGGCAGTTTCGGACGGCGGTGAGGTGTCTTTCTCCGTTGACAGGCCTGGCTTTCTAGGCACCAAGTCTGGATGTCACGGTTCATTGACTGCCACCAATATTTTTGTCGTATTTTTTCGTACGTTGGACGAAATGCGAGGTGTCCACCTGAAAGAGCGTGATCATGGTATGCGTGCATCACTAAACCGGTGAGGTCATGTGGGACTACAAGTTGATCACTAAAAGTGCTTTGTTTTCGTAGGTGTCCTGGCAGATACGACTTAAACAGTAATCCGTCTTGTATGGAATAGTACGACATTGATGTTGCCGTTTCGTTGTCTGGTAGCGGTGCTTTGGTGTCTAACATGTATTGGACATCTTCGCCGTATTCTTCGGCTTGTTTCTCGCGCAATTTCTCATGCTGAACAGATTCAAATACTTCCGTGGCGCTGACGAAATTTGAATTGACTGTGAATAATTCCCAATCACTAAGGACTGGTTGCACATCATCCAATCTGTCAGTCGAGACTTGGTATGGTCTGTTTGGCATGTGTTGTTGCAGCTTTGGATCGTCCGGTACATTTCGGCAAATCGGTGCAAGGTTCGGCGCAGTTCGTTCTTGTTCATTATCGAACACGAAAAGTCGCGATAACGTATCCGGCACTACATGCAACTTTCCCGGTTTGTGTTTTACCGTGAAATCGAAGGATTGCAGTGCTATTGCCCATCTAGTGAGCATATTTGACGTGTCTTGCATCGTATAAAGATATCGCAATGCCGCATGATCAGTTACGCACGTAAAATGTCTACCCCATAAATAAGGACGCCAGTGTTGAATTGCTAGAAAAACAGCATAGCATTCTTTCATGGTGGCAGAGTAGTGTTGCTGGCTGTTGTTGAATCGCTGGCTAAAGTATGCTACGATATTCACGTCATCGCCATTCTGTTGTGCCAGGAATGCTCCTGCTCCCACTTCAGATGCGTCTATGTGGATCACAAACTCTTCAGAAAAGTCCGGAAAATGCAAAACAGGAGCGTTGGTGAGTAATCGTTTCACTTCGGCAAATGCTTCATCATGTTTCGGACCCCAGCGTTTCGCTACCGACTTCACTGCGTCTTTCTTCGTAAGGTCGACCATTGGTGCGGTGACGGCGGCTAAGTCTGGGATGAACTTCCTGACATAGTTGACCGTTCCTAGGACTGATCGATGTTTGTGTTTGCGGCCTACGCCACATATTTATCGGGTGAGACTGTTTTGGTGATGTATT